GCCCCCAAGGGCGCCCGAGGGTGTCCTTTCCGTACAATAGGGTCTTTTGGTCTTGTCCGTTTTTGGTAATCCTGGGGGGCGTCTCCCTCAAGAACGGAAATCTCCACCGCCCTCACTTCTGGTGGCGTCACGTCGCCTCGAGATGCTTCCTACCTCCTTGGTTGAAGCCAGGGGTCTCCCAACCCCGGCCCGCCGGCCAGAGACGGCCCGTGAAAGTCTTCCGACCGGCCAGCGGCTGGCAGTGGTCTTTAAGATGAAGCCCGGCCCGCAGCCCGCTTCCAGCAGACTCGCTGCTAACGGTGCAAAAATAAGTGCGGGTAAAGAAACGGCGCAGCGACGCGCTCCAAATACTCAAACTAAGATACCAGAAAGAGGAGAGAAACTGCACCGTAACGCGAGTCCACTCGCCATACTATTAATTGTCATATCCAGCATTACCATTCTTAGACCCTTAATCCCTGTGTACCTATGTTAAAATTCCATGCCGTCCTCGTGTACATTGCTCTTAGAGTCCTCTGTCGCAACTATTTCATACTGTCAGCCTTAGTTTTATAATTTTAATTAGTCGTTTACACCGCGCGAATACGCCAAAGTTCCCGTGCGCTTTGATTAATGATGGTGAGTTTTCTTGCTCACACGTGTTGTGAGCAAGAATACCGCTAATTGAATAATTAGCGGTATTCGCTAATTATTCAATTCCAAATTCAAGCAGAATCCACTATTTTTTAATACTTACTCTGACATCTATTTTCGTGTTTAAATGCTTATCTAGCTTTAGTTCAGTTTTTCTCCATTTATGATTACTGTCTCTTCTTTTTTCCCGGCGCTCAAGACTGCGACAGATCGCTAATCCGGTCCCTTGGCAAAAACGTTTGGAGACTCGTAGTCTAAGCTGAGACGCTGATTCGAGAAAGCCGGTCCAGGTTCTACATTTGGGAAACGCAAACATCGCACTGCAAGAAAACAACAAAAATCAAAGCACACCATAAAGGAGGAGTTTCTGCTGTTATAGGCAGACCTAAACGTCAAAGAATCAAACTAGGGAGTTTTAGCAAATCAATTTTCACAGAACCGATATTCCTCCGCACGCACTTCATGGCAAGTGTTGACGATGTAGCGGACTACCCCGTTACCAACCTCGTTCTATCAAAACTTTATCCGCTAAAACTCACGAGACAAGGATAAAAAAAATAATAAAATGCTTTGCCTCAAGCATGAACCCGTTGCTCTTTGTGGTGCCTCAATAGGCGTGAACGCTCGAAGCTTGAGCAACAGCTGAACCTTAAAAAAGAGAGCTCGCGCTGGAAGTAAGAGAGAGTATTAGGGAACCGTTTTTGCACATCCGATACGGTACGTTAGGCCCTCCGGTACGAACTGCGCATGCGCTAGTCTTCTGCGGTAGCAGATGCGCAGATTGCACCGGAGGGTCCATCGTAATGTATAGGATGTGCAAAAACGGTTCCCTAAAACTATCGAATACCGCCGGGTATCGATCTACCGCCCGTTCGCGGTGACATGATGCACCCTTCCAATATGTACAAGTCCTCAGCCCAGCGTGCGATCTCCTCACCTCAGCATGCGGTCCCCGCGCGTATGTTAGGCGCACCGGAAAGCGAGTAAATCACGCGCCAATCGGACGAACACTGAAAATGGAACCGGCCAGGAACCCACTTTTTGGAAAGGTACTCTGTTCAAGTGTTGGCAGTAACGGGTTACTTTTTTCAGTAAGGTAGTATAGCTAGTCATTACTTTTTCAAAAGAGTAACGGGTAACGTACTTAAGTTACCTATTTCGACTAACAGGTAATGTACAGGGTCCGATCGAGAAAAGTAAACCCTACTTTTCGGCCCGCGTAAAAAATACCACGCATCGCAGAACGCTCAAACTCCGCCAGAATGTAACCCTATCGGTTCAAGCAAGATGCCAAAGTTTTACAACATGAGCTTACTTTAATCAAAAGATAAAATAAAAAAAAAAAAATAAAAACGAAAAATCTCTACGGGGAGGCTCCGCCCACGGAGAGGCGCAGACGGAGGCCGTCTGCTTTGCGTTGCATCGCATAGGTGGCGCTACCACCGGTGTTCGGGTTTGCGAAGAGCAAAGCAGACGGCATCTGCTAAACTAATTAGCATGAAGAAATGTTATGCTTGAGCAAATCCACCGAGGTATCACAAATTAGAGCGCGTAATCTTTATTTCCGTTGCAGTGAAAAGCAGTGCGTAAGTGAAACTTCAGAAATGATAGAGAACAATTCCGAATTTGCCGCCAAGCCCGGCAGATGCCCGTGATAACCCGCCAACCCGCATAGGTGGTGCCGCCACCTATGCGATGCAACGCAAAGCAGACGGCCTCCGTCTGCGCCTCTCCGTGGTCGGAGCCTCCCCGTAGAGATTTCTCGTTTTCTTCTTTTATCTTTCGAGCCAGGTAAGCTCATGTTCTGAAACTTTGGCATCTCGCTTGGACCGCTAGGGTTACATTCTGGCGGAGTTTGAGCGTTCTGCGATGCGTAGTTTTTTTTATGCGGGCCGAAAAGTAGGGTTTACTTTTTTCGATCGGACCCTGTAGTTAGGTTACTCGTTACAGCTTCCCAACACATGAAAAAAGTACACTTACATTTTTTCCGTGTTTCTATAGTTCGTTTTACCCAAAGTCCAGCCGCGGCCCATGCTCTCGAGCTGATGGGACCAATCAGACAGCGTCAAAAGGGCGCTAGCGCCATCCAAGCAAACAGAAAGGGACACTGCTTTCGCAAAACTGCTTCTATGCGGAGAGCAAGTTCGTCTGCTTCTTGCACAAGGGTTGCGATGATGTCAGAACGCCAAACTCTTAATGGCTGATTAAACAAAAAATTGTTAGTATATCTGGAGGCATCTAGCAGCGAGGTCTACCCACTATCCTTTCAATCAAAACCAATCAGAGCTCGGCGTCGTTCTGACGTCACTGCAACTCCTGCGCAAGAGGCAGACGACTTGTTCTCCGCATACTTCGTTTCACTTTAAGACCAGACTCAGTCGACGCTACGAGCTGATGGGACCAATCGAGCAATGTGAAAATCGCATGTCACTGCGTCTTTCCTGTACGCGATTGGTTCAGCGATGATAGAACACTTACCACATTAAACGAACACCATAACGTTGCATTTTGACGCTGCTTGATTGGTCCCATTGGCTCCTAGCGTCGGCTGCGTCTTGACTTAAGGTGAAACGAAGTATAAACATGAAGTCTACCTGCTTTCGCGTGTCGTCTGCAATCTGCTAGCAAGTTTGCCAGTCGGCGTAGCGACTAGTTTGGTAGTCACCGGATTGACAAACCACTATGCACTGCGTGTCACATAAGCTCGCGATTGATCGGGAATAGACTCTAGAATAACAGCACGATGCAACCGCAAGCCTTTCAACTCGCGTAGCCACCAAACACTCACTTACCTGTCACAACAAGGTGGCTGCGAAGGCATCATCGAAAGACATAAAGCGCGTTAAAGGAAACGGCGTCCACTACCCAGCCAGATCTAGCTTTTTTGCGCTGTTAGACTTTTTGGAAGGGGTCTATAATCGTCACTGACAGGATTGAAAACAGCAGGGAGGAGCTCTAGTTGCCCTGCCTCCAGCGCGCGCTCGATACCTTCGATATCGCTTTCGGTGTTTCGTGAGCCTCGAGTGTGCACGCGCAGCCGAAGCACGACGGAAGGCAACGACCGCGTGCTGAAGGTGGGGCTTTCGCAAGAGACGCCCAGCCGTTCTCGCCTTGTCAGTGACTATAGTTTTTTTATTCTTTGACCAAAGGAAACGCCGTCGTGTTTTATTCTGTGTTAATTATTGTGTTTGTTGCAGTATTTAGCATACGTCATCAGGGGTTATGAAAGGAGGCCCGGAGTTCGAATCCCTGCTCCGCCAAAATACTTTCATTCTTATTTGATCAGTGCGGTTCAATCATCCGCATAGTTCGTCTAACCTGTGCTCTGCAATGGCCTCCGATAGGTGACGTTAAAAATTATATACAAGGTGTTAGTTTGAGGCAGCATAGCTCCAACCGAGAAAGCTGATTCCATCAGAAAGCCCGTTAAATGCCACGCTTAGTATTCCTCCTTTCTGAGTTTTTTTTTTACAGGTCGGGGTGATTGGTCCATCGCTATCTTTGCACAAAAACAGACGCGTGGGACTCTTACTTTAACGCTGTGTCGTATTTAGTGCGTACACCACGCGACACAGTTAGCACGAAGGCGACGTCGTCGCATTTCGACGTTTTACTGAGAGAGGCTATCGAAAAGCCTCACAGTTTAGCGCTTCGCGTGGTGCCCCGAATAAGCACTTTCAAACAAAGTGGAAAGAGCTAGTTCCTAAAAAGAGACAGAAGGAAAAAGAGAGAGGGAGGAAGAGAGAGAGAAAGAGAGAGTGAAAAAAAAAGAAGAAGAAGAAACAACTGACTATCGATTGTTCGTGCCAACCGTGTCACGATCTGTATACGTATATGGAGGTACCTACATAACCCCAGCAGAGCGTAGCAACAGAACGTTGCGGGGAAGATGATGTCCGGGGTAATCAGGCACACCCGCGCGAGGCGGCATCGATTGCAATCAGGCGCCGTTGGTCCGCAATCGAGACGGGGGAAGCCGACGCCAATCAAGTGAGCGGGAGGGGGGAATGGAGGTGGCAGAAACCAACGTGTGCTAGACAAACTAAGCTGGTCAAGCTGGTGATATGTAGGAGTTGTTGCACAGACTCTCGTAGAAAAGAGATATTGATCAGGTACAGAGCGCGACACTGTTAGCGCGAACGAGCGATTGCCGGTTTTTTCAATTTTTCTCTTTGAAACCAAGGGATTTCATCCAAGTTATTAAGGCTACGGAAAGAGCTCATTTGGTTCTATAGTGTAAGTGATAAAATTTCGTGCTCTCTAATCCTGTTTAGAAGTAAAATGCGAAAATGCGCCGATGTCGTGTTGGCGCTAACAGCGTCGCGATGTGTACTTGATAGGAGGAGGTGTTGCCCAGAGAGACTGACCTCGGTTCCCTGGACCTTGAGCTTCATGTGGTCCTCCCGGGTGGTCTTACCATCCTTGCGCTTTTTCCAGCAGTAGCCGTCGCGCCGGTACCGGACCCGCTTTCGGCTGTACAGCAGCATGGAGCCGCTCTTCGGCCTGGGCATGGGGAGAGACACGCGGGAGGTCAGGAAGGCGCGTGGGAGTCGTGCACGAGCAACAAGCAAGAACAGCGACACAGAGTCGCGGCCACAGGCGAGATTCGCCGGACGCCATACTTGAGTGGGCTGTCCAGAGCACTAGCTCAGAATGAACTCAGATTAGTAGGCCGGCCGGTAACATTGATGGTGTGGAACGCGCGTTACTAAAGAACTGTGCTTGGCACGCGCTCGGCACGTGCGCCCTCAGCTATGGCTGCCAGCGTATACACCGTTCCAATATCTACAAGTCCTCAGCCAAGCACGCGCATATTCGTCGGATCTAGAGCCACTAAATGAGCTCAGAGCCGTGTATGGAAAGAGTTTGGTCACTTGGAGGCGCGGGCAGAGCCAGGGCGTGCGACAGACTCGGGAAGACGGCTTGGCATGCTCTCTTGACCAACCAACAGCCGAAAAGAATCCCCTAGCGGCGGTAGCAAGAAACAGTTATGATCAAAGGTATATGTTTATATATGATTTTAAGAAGCGCGTAAGAGTGAAGTGTGGTAACTCTTCGCGGTTGAAAATAGGGTGCAAGTGTTGTTTTGATTGTGATCATGCAGAATGATGTAAGAAACGAATGCGCCGCTCAACTCTGTTTTGCTCGGACAGAGTTTGACCTCTCGGACGGCACATTCCCGGCCCTCGGCGCTTGGCGTACAAATTATGTCGATCGTTCCACTAGTCGCACTCTTCCACCATCATTTTGGATGAGCGTGATTGAAACACCACGTGTACCATATTTTCAGTCACCGAGAGTTACACCAATGCAGTTCTCAGGTTTGTTTCTCGCGACCACCGCCAGGGCATTATTTCCGACATCTGGTTGGTCATAGTGCCACTAAATAAGCTACGCTTCAGAGTAACGACACTTGGCCATATTGTGTCTTAAAATCATGGTTGCCAGTTATCTGAAGCTTTATCTGAAATCACGGGAAACGCTTTTCCGCCCTCCACAAATGTTTAAACAGTTCGCGACAGAGGGAAGCAATATTACATGAGCTTCCTAACATAGAATCTAATGCTGAAGAAGTCACACTTTTGAATCATGACTATCGACAGTTGCGTCTGCTCTGCATACGAGCCAAAATGGCGGCGCCCACAACAATGCCGAGGAACGGAGTGCCGATACTCTAAGCGCAGCTCATTTAGTGGCTCTAGTTGGTCATATTCGAATTTCTGAAGACGCCCTGGAACACGCCCAGCCCGCTTTCGGCCAATGGCGCCTCCTCATTTGTCTCCTATACTTCCCAACGAATGGCCAAACTCTTTATATATACGGCTCTGAATGAGCTGTGCTTAAAGTAGCGGCACTCCATTGTTGTTGGCGCCGCCATTTTGGCTCGTATGCAGTGCAGACGCAACTGCCGATCGTCATGATTCAAACGTGCGACTTCCTCAGCATTCGATTCTGTGTTAGGAAGGTCATGTAATATTGCTTTGCTCTGTCGCGAACTGCTTAAACATCTCTAAAGGGTGGAAAAGCGTTACCTGTGACTTCAGGTGAAGCTTCAGATAAGTGGCAACCATGATTTTAAGACACAATATGGCCAAGTGTCGTTACTCTGAAGCGTAGGTTATTTAGGGGCATTAGTCGCATTGTAAAGCGAGCAAATCACGCGCCATAAGCACGAACTCTGAAAATGGAACCGGCCAGGAGCCCTTTTTTGGAAAGGTCTATTAGTGGCGAGATGTTTCAGTGGCGCCCTCGTATGGTTACCTTTCGTGACGTCATTACTTTGCGAACAACAAGCTGGATGGTGTTTGTAATGAGCATGGCGGAAGCTTGAAATCATAGCGCGCTTGAACCAACAGTGTCAACACCGTCAAAATTGAAGTCCTCACGTTCCTCTTATTTCCGTCCATGAGAACTCCTTTGCTGACGTCATAGTCAGCATTCCGCCACTAGTGGAAGGCCGACCACCGCGACGCTTTTGATTGCGCACGCCGCCAATTGGCGACGTGAGCGATCGAAAGCGTCGCTGTGGACGGCCCACCACAATTGGCCGAATGCTGACTATGACGTCAGCAAAGGAGTTCTCATGAACGGAAAAAGAGGAACGTGAGGACTTCAATTTCGACGCTGTTGACAGTGTTGGTTCAAGAACGCTATGGATTTCATGCTTCCGCCATGCTAATTCCAAACACCATCGAACTTGTTGTTCGCAAGGGAATGACGTCACGAAAGAGGGCGCCACCGAAACATCTCGCTGCTAATAGACATTTTTACGAATTCATTACCATCTAGTGACCCAAATATCAGTCCACATTTTTGTATGCGAACGGCGGTTAAGATCTAGTACCTATCCATCAACGGCAGACGTACGAAATATACGGTGTTCATCGCTGTACATGGTTTTCTCTATTTCTTTCATTTTCGATGGTGTCAAGAAACTACCACTTTGTACGCTTAGTTTAATAAAACTCTTCATACATTCACCACATTTTATTGTCATGAGCATGAGCTGCCTGGGGTGTGCCGAGGCTGAGCGTTCCAAAGGATTTACATGACACACTCAAATGCACAGCGCACAGAAGCTCATAAGTCTCATCACAGTGACAAATGACTTTATCAAGAAATCGTGATGTCTCACATTCCTTTAATAAATACGTTTTCTCACTCACTCGAACAATAAAACTGACTAAAGCCTCTCAAATTCAAGCTCCTTGAGCATCCACCAAAAAACCGCAATCCGCATCTACAGATGATACACAGAGGTGATGACAGTTATCAAAGTGGCATGAATTAATTTCGGAAAACGTCTATGGTCTATTGGCGACGTGAGCGATCGAAAGCGTCGCTGTGATTGGCCTTCCACGATTGGCCGAATGCTGACTATGACGTCAGCAAAGGATTTTCCATTGACGGAAATAAGAGTGATGTAAGAACTTCAATTTTGACGGTGTTGGCAGCGTTGCTTTCAGAGCCCAATGATTTCAAGCTTCCACCGTACTAATTACAAACGCCATCGAAGTTGTTGTTCACAAGGTAATGACGTCACGAAAGGTAACCATAGGAGGGCGCCACCAAAACATCTCGCCGCCAATAGTTCCCTCTCGTGACGCCATTACCTTGCCAAGTACAAGTTCGACGGTGTTTGTAATTAGCATGGTTGACGTTTGAAATCATTGCGCCCTAAAACGAACACCTCCAACACCGTCAAAATTTAAGTTCTTAAATTACTCTTATTTCCGTCAATGAGAAATCCTTAGCTGACGTCATAGTCAGCATTCGGCCAATCGTGGAAGGCCGATTACAGCGACGCTTTCGAACGCTCACGTCGCCAAAAGCCGGCAGGCCCGCTGGGATTAAAGGTCAAAAAAAAAAAAAAAACCGCTTCTGGCTTTTTTTTTAATTATAGCAGGCGCTTTTGCTTCCAAAAATTTGTCCGTCCGTGCCTCTGCGCGTCCGCGTATACCCGACAGCACCCTAAAATAATCATAGCCCGTGCGCTAGCATCCTGACGTCATCACAGCAAGATTGCGCCAACGTTACTACATTACCTCAGTTATGGAACTCCCGCGGAAGGGGCCACCCCCCCTCTCTCACTTCAGTTCGTCTCCCGTCCTTTGAAGCGCCATCTAGATTATCGTTTCATAACTGAATGTTCTATATAGCAGACCTTGAACGCCATCTAGACGCTGTGTTTCGTAACTTATGTATTCTATAGAATACACCGCAGTTACCATACACTCTAAAAAAAGCCAGTGAGTCTGATTTCCCGCACAACACTCGGAGAGCCAATCAGCGCAACTTACGGAGGCAGCTGAGTTGTGATACTAAGCAATGCAAGGGCAATGCAATACAAACATTTTTTTAGAGTGTAGCAGCCGTTCGGACGCGTCGAGCGACGGGAGGCGAGTCGTGGTCAGTGAGGGGGGAAGGGGTATGTTCGTACAAGCAGCGTCTATGGGCAGTTCTGTAACTGAGCTGCTCATAGAATAGAGAGCACAGAATAGACACGAGTGCTGTGGCAGCGTTCGGACGGGCCTCGTGTCCAATCAACGCGTCGAAGGAGGCTCGACGTTGGGTTCGGACCCAATCGCCGAGTTTGCGCCATCCGAGTGTGGTGACGGTACGTGAAGGTGCAGGAAGCTGTTCAAAGGCTACGATCGTTCTGGGTGGCGTTGGCGCACCCCATGGCAGGGCATATCAGCACACCTGTTGTGTGACGTTCCATGACGTCGAGTAACACTGACGTCGCGTCGCGTAACCCAACGCCATGTAACGTGGTATCCCGTAACATAAGGTTACGTTATGCAAGTGTCACGAGACGTGATGTCACATAACGCTATTTCACGTAACGTTAATTAACGAACAAAATTTTTTTTTACTTTACGAAACCAGCTTCACCCGAGACGACTGTTTAATGTCTTGTATGTGATTCGATCGAAAAGGCTAACAAGCGAACCTCTCGCCACAGCTCTCTGCTCTAGCTGGTAGGTGCCGTTGATTTCGCTGGAGTCACCAATCAAGGTCGTTGACAATTTGTTTATGTATCGTTGCGCCGAAACGTGCGAAAGTATGAAATAGACCCTTTCTGAAATTCAGTCTGGCCACTTTGATCACTATCATCATTATCTGAAAAATGGCATATGTGCCATACCAATGGCGACTTTCTAATTACTGATAAAGGAACATGTTGAAGATACTTCTAAGCTGAGGATTCGGGGCCTATACATTCTAGACGTTAGCACGTTGCGAAACCGGAATCGAATGCACGCGCTGCGTAAGTGTTCATTTCTCTAATTCGAACCTCTTAGCGGCACAAAATCAACTTCGAAACCCATTGACTTATAGAACTTTATCAAGGCGTCTGTCTGGGTTGGCGCTTCGTTCTGACTGGTTGCATCGTTGTGGGAATCGACACTGGAAGAGATGATCCAGAAAAACCAGTATAACAAAAAGTTTATTCTCGTCTGCCGTTGACATGCAAAAGTGACGGTGCCCGATAAAATGCT